TAAAGGTTATTATCATATAGCTAACGACGCGGTCGCATTCGTCGTATGTGGGCCGCTTCGCACCATTTTCATGAAAAATGGGGGTATTGCTTCTGGTATGTCTGTGTCTGTGTGTGTGTGTGTGTCTGTGATTCCGAATGGAATTTAGGTCAGGTTGTAATAGATATGGTTGGTTTCAGCCGTAGCACCCGCACTTGTTTGAGAGTCGTTTACTGCCTCTGCTGTATTGAAATGAATGAACGAAAGACCTTTATTCTACATTTATGCTCTAACAAGCTAAGTACAGGTCATGGATAAACGGGAAAAAGAATACAACAATAACACTTAAACTATACATACTAATGTGGTCTACTATTTACACGTTCAACTGCTTCTCGCTTCTTTAGGCATTTATAGATGTAAAACATATTGGGCTAATGATACATTGTTTGTTATTTAGAGAACTTGAGCCCGTGAAAAAAAATCGGCGCCCCCCCCCACACACACACAATAAAACAATAAACGCCCCGCTCCAAGAAGTCTGCAAAAGAGGCTACGGTCTCTGCATTTTAAGCAAAAAAAAAAGCTTGCTGGTTTGATGAATGAGTGGCAGACGGCAACGTTCCCACGACGGGCTGACATATTGAACACGGAGGAAAACAGCTACTACCGCGCGGTCGTTCAGGGGCGGCCTTTGGGTGCACTTCCCCTGGAAAATTTAATAGGCGCCGGGAAGCCCTGAATTATAGATAAAGCCTTCTTGCCGAGTACTGACGGCCCCAGAAGTGGCCTGTCATTTGACCGAACCATTTGTCCTCCGTGCCCCGGCCCGTCAGAGAGCCAATATTCGGACTTGTCCGACAATTGCGTGCGGGGAAAGGTCCCTGCCCGAGCCGTCTCGCACGGGTGAGGAGCAATATTGGGCAGGAACGTGAGGAACCACTGTAGATCGAGCAGACAGAGGTGTGGGGCACAACCTATCGACTGGATAACTACCCCTACAGACTTGTAACTACTACCTATACCGTTAACTCTTTCAATAAAGGTACAGATGTGAAAATATGAGCTCCAGAGAGCCAAAATGTAGGGCACAACCTATCGACTGGATAACTAGCCCTACA